ATTTTGGATTTGTAAATTTTGTTTCCACTTAATTACTATATCACATCCAGGAAATAGCCCAATACAGAATTTTACACGATTTTAAACTATTATAAATTATTATGATTAATTTTTTTTTAAATTAAAATATCTTTTAAAAATTCATTATTCATCAGAAAAAACGTATGTCTTCAGACAATAATGTCCTTAATATTAGTTATTTACAAAAGCAATTAAAAGCTTTTCTAATTAACTAATGTCATAGTTTTATTGGATTCATTATTTTTCAATTCAGAGCAGATTTTTAGTTAGATAGCTCAATTTTTTTTTTTTTTTTTTAAAGTAGATGATTTACAATCTCCAAGGACTTCTACTTTTAACAAAAAAAAAATATCAGGGAATAGAAAGGTTTTGTTCAAAATTTCATGAAATTAAGTAAGTGGGGTGGAAATATTTAAAAAAATATTTTTTACCAAAATTTTCTAAAAAGAAACACTTCAAAATAATTTCATTCATTTGTGAATAAGTCCTGAAAATTTCATTAAAATCGGACAATTACTTGATTTTTACAAGAATTTCCAAATCAATGTGTTTTCTACGGAAAAAAGCGCAAAAAAAGTTATTTTCTGCCACCGAGATGACGTAAGCAATAAAAAAAACTTTAACCAAAAAATTTTGAACGTGTTAGAAAGGATTAAAAAATTTCAAAAAATAATTAAAAAATACTTTGGTCTTTCATCTTAATAATGACATAAACATTTTGGCGATAAAACTTTATTTTCGTTAAGTTTGTGGTCTTTTTCATTACGCTACCTTTTTCCGCCAAAAAGCGGAGGAGCCTAGTATAATTAAATTTTACAAGATATTTAAATGGATAGTTTCACTTTTGTTTACAAAGTTGCCAAACCAACCAATGTTGTTTCGAATCGTTGTACTCCAGAAAACACTTATCTGTGTTTTTTCTTTTCTTTATCATTTCTTAGTTTGTTCTGTTTTGTTTTACGGCATATCAACCTTAATGGGTTATTTAATGCCGACAAGATTTTTAATCTGGTAATATTTTTTCAAAAATGTATTGTTGGTAATATTTTCAAAATAATTTGAAAATCACGACAAAAAGAATTGTTACTGGTCAGGAATAAGTTCATGGTTGATTCTGTTTGGTTTTGTTAGGTTTATAGCTTATCAAACTCAATGTGTTATCTAATGCCGACAACATTTTTTATTACTGGTAATAATTTTTATCTATCTCAGTATATATTGGTTTGGTTTGGTTTGTTTTACGGCATATCAACCTCAGTGGGTTATTTAATGACGACAAGATTTTTATTGCCGGTAATATTTTTATCTATCTATCTATCTATTTCAGTATATATTAGTTTGGTTTGGTTTGGTTTGATTTGGTTTGGTTGACCGCATATCAACCTCAGTGGGTTATTTAATGACGACAAGATTTTTACTGCTAGTAATAATTTCTGTCTATCTATCTATCTCAGTATGTATTGGTTTGGTTTGGTTTGGTTTTACAGCAGATCCATTTCAGTGGGTTATTTAATGCCGACGAGATTTTTATTGTTGGCAATATTTTTTTTAAAATCTATTTCTGTTAATATTTTTTCTTCAAAAATCTATTGCTGTTAATATTTTCTCAAAAATTTATTGCTGGTAATAATTATTTCTTCAAAAATTTATTGCTTGTAATCTTTTACAAAAACGTATTGCCGTATTAAATCATATTTTTACACGTGCATAGTGTTTTGTCCACATAGGACAACTAATTGAGAGTCGAGACAATAGGGTCTGGGCGTGACAAAATTCTGATGCAATCACGGATGACACAATATTTTTCAAGGCCAAACAAATGTAATCATACACCCGAAAATAGACTTATATTATTGCACACCACTGCAAATGAACTGATCTGAAGAAAAAACAGAAATAGATTACACCCTGTCACTCCAGTGATCTAAAACTAATCGTATTGTGAAAGAAAGGAAATTAAAGCGGTTGTTTCAACTAATTTGCAAAAGAGTGTATATGATCAAGTTTATTGAAGCATCGATTAAAGCATATCGACTCGTCTAGGTTGGTCAACGAATAAACGTCAACTAATCTAGTTCAGTCGAAGAAAAGGTCAAACGACACAATGGTAAATAAGACTGGAGACTATTAACTGATATGAAACTCCCCCCCATCGATACTGAAAAGAGTGATAACAGTTACCGTAATCGAGATATGATATATATTAAAGCGTTTTAAGAGAACGTTTTTATAAATTTCAACCGAAAGCGGTACTTGAACCTCGGTCAATGAATGCCGAATGTTTCCTTATAGGGAAAAGGTTAATACAGTGCGCCCCCGTCGATTCGCGTTTTAGCATACGCGGCTTCACACATTCGCGGAGTTTAGAACATATGTACATAGAAATGATTAAAGATATCTTACTGGAATTCTCCGAGGTTTTTATAACACAATTGGACTCTACTTTGAACAATAACAATGTATAATTACTCTCCAAGCTTAACAAAAGAATCGTGATGAAATCGATCATAAACAAATATTATATCTTTATCATTAGTTAATCTTATCTAAGGATCGGAAGTTCATGAAGTGTCAAAATAAAGCTCATATATATATATATATATATATATATATATATATATATATATATATATATATATATATATATTCCCGGTGTAACAGCAAAATTGTCCAAATTGTGTAACAGCGAAATTGTCCAATTTTTACATTGAGCTTTGAACCGTTGTATCATAGAAATGATTAAAGATATCTTACTGGAATTCTCCGTGGTTTTTATAACAATATTGGACTCTACTTCGAGAAATAAGAATGTATAATTACTCTCCAAGCTTAACAGGAGAATCATGATGAAATCGATCATAAAAGAAAATGACAGACTCATCATTAACTCAATTTAAGGATTGGAAGTGGATGAAAGATTGTAATTGAGAACCAAGAAATGTTCAAGGCAATGGGGATGGAGAATTCTTCCGACAAAACGTGTTTATTAATTGGGTGTTTTTTTTTATGGAGATGTATTTTTTACGAAAGAATAACGATTATTTTGTTTTTAGTAAAATTATCTGATAAATTAGTGTCTGTTAATATTACTCTCATCGTTCGTGTATATACGGGGTCTGCTAAAATGTTATCGGCTTAATTCATATTCCCAAACCAGTATTCTGCTTTTTTTTTTGATCATTGAAAATACTGATCTTGGAAACTGAGTTAATCCGATAACTTTCTAGCACGACCTTTTACCTGTTTTGTTTATGCGTGCATGTGTTCCATGTGGATGGGGGGTTGCGATGAAACCTTGAAATTATAAATGATGCTATACAATCCCCACCAACTGGTTTAAGTTGATTTTTTCTTTTTTTTAAATTTTTGGTGGTTCTTTTTCCGAGTCTGGACACTTACAGGGCGCTGCCTCCGTTTGTTTGACGACAATATTTGATGCAAGCACAAACAGAGAAGCCAGACGCGTGCAATCCGACTCAAGAGTCAAATAATTGAATAGGGATAAGGTTTATTACTCAAGAGTGTGCAGGGGAAGGAAAAATCAGGAGGAGTTGGGCGTCACTAATCAGAAGGATGAGCAGCTGAAATTTCCGGATTGCGTGTGAATTGACAGTCGAAAATTACCAGTATGCGGTTACAAAAAATTCTAGGTAGAGTAGAATCCCTGACAACCAGACTAAGAAGGCCTTCCGGGTATGAGGAATTTTGTTACAAAGTCCGGATATTAGGGATTCCGGATATTAGAAATTCCGGATATGAGGAATTGGTTACAAAGTCCGGATATGAGGGATTCTGGATGTTAGGAATTCCGGATATTAGGAATTGGTTACAAAGTGCGGATATGAGGGATTCTGGATATTAGGGATTCCGGATATTAGAGATTCCGGATATGAGGAATTGGTTACAGTCCGGATACGAGGAATTGGTTACAATGTCGGAATATGAAGGGGTTATATTTAGTTGTGTATATATGTGCTGTATGCACGTGGCCGAGTGATTAAAACGTTCGCATTCTGATCATGCGACCCGGGTTCGAATCTCACCATAGTCGACTTCCTGATGTTATCGAACTGGATATACACAAATATATAAAATCTGTCTATATCTCTGAGATGAGGTATCATGGTTACTTGCATTATTTACATTATTCGGAATGTTATCTCATTTTCATTGCCATATTCACAACGTTTCAGTCCTTGTACGCTCCGGCCGTCATTGACATGGCATACTGGTCATAATGTTCCTTACTACTCCCGCCCATGGACAGAGATACGCATGGACAGAGATGCACAGTGAGATATCACTGGTTTTTAATCAGAGGACACACCGATTTGGTAATGGTCAAGGGGATCTATCCATCATCAGATGATTTTAATAGATCCAAGCGTGTGGCACCTTTGGAAAGTGCCTGAAAACAATACCAATGGTTCACCCAAGCCTTGTAATTGAAATTGGGTAGACGGGACACTTTGGGGCTGTCAATAGCTGTGTTAGCACAAAGTCACAAGTCGTCGTGGCTGAGGGCTTGAGCGTTCTGGCCTTGTTCAAATTGTTGATCACGCTAGTTAACACACGCATAAACTGTAACTAAGGTCTGCTCAGCATAGATTCAGTATAAACCCCAAGTGGGCTCTGGGCTCTTGTTGAATAAATACAAATACGCCTGAGCAAGCGTCTGCAAAAGGGATTGCCTATGTAGACGGGTATCCACGAATACGAGTGGCCAGCTATACATGTTGTGTGCATAATTATGTGAGGGGTTAATATAGACTAAATTTTAGCACAGTTCTACTCAGACTGCCACTTCCCGCCAAATTCCTTGTTGCTTTGGAAACAGTGAAACTCTACAAGAGAATAGAAGATCAATTTTCAGATTCAACATTTGAAACATTGGCGTTCTAACGCTTCTTATAACGATCTGATGTTGATCGCTGTGCTCTTTAGGGCTAACCACAAAAGATACACGGGTTGTTTGAATGATGTCAGTTACTACGAAAGATACCGTCGTTCTTGGAGTGCCAATTGTGGTTCGGGAAGGAGTGTGACTCACTGAAGTCATTAAGGGTGTTTCTCTAACCAACTCTCAAGAGGCAAGGCAAATAAGCAAGAAGAACATGGGAAAGACTTTAGGAATAATTCGACCTGCAATGGCTTCTATCGCCTCTTCACTGCAAGATAAAATATTTCGAATTAAACTGAGAATGAGAAAATGATTCATCGACTTGAACCAGTTAAAAATGGCGTTCTTTAGGATTCCTTTGTTTGGGATTTTTTTTTTAATTATATTTTTCCTTACTGTTGATTTTTTTTCTTCTGGAATATATTATTCTTTTTTTTTTCTTCGATTCTTTGTTTTTCGTTCCTACTTTCCTTATTTTTATATTTTGGTTGGTTTGTTCAAGTTAATTCGTTTTGCTTGCCTCTATCTATCTCAGCAATGACAGTTTGTTCATATCTATTTCAGTCTATTAAAATCATCTCAATCTATCTATCTATCTATCTATCTATCTATCTATCTATCATTATGTTCATATCCATCTATCTATCAATCTAATTCAGACTGTTCATATCTATCATTAATTCTGTTTATATGTATCTATCTATCTATCTACCATCATGTTCATATCTATCTATCTCAATGTGTTCATATCTATTTATCTATCTATCTATCTATCTATCTATCTATCTATCTATCTCAGCAATCACAGTTTGTTCATATCTATTTCAGTCTATTAAAATCATCTCAATCTGTTAATATCTATCTATCTATCTATCTATTTCAGTCTGTTCATATCTATCTATCTATCTATCTATCTATCTATCATTATGTTCATATCCATCTATCTATCAATCTAATTCAGACTGTTCATATCTATCATTAATTCTGTTTATATGTATCTATCTATCTATCTACCATCATGTTCATATCTATCTATCTCAATGTGTTCATATCTATTTATCTATCTATCTATCTATCTATCTATCTATCTCAGCAATCACAGTTTGTTCATATCTATTTCAGTCTATTAAAATCATCTCAATCTGTTAATATCTATCTATCTATCTATCTATTTCAGTCTGTTCATATCTATCTATCTATCTATCTATCTATCTATCTATCTATTTCAGTCTGTTCATATCTATCTATCTATCTATCTACCATTATGTTCATATCTATCTATCTATCTATCTATCTATCTATCTATCTATCTGTTTGTCTGTCTGCCTGTCTCTCTGTAAATATCTATCTCAAAACTCTTAATGTCTACTTCAGTATTTTACGAAATGTCTTACTATATTTCTCTTATATATCTATGTGTTCACATCTATCTCATTCTTTCATATCCTTTCACATATATCCTGTATCTATCATTCTCTCGAGCTATCTCAGTTTGTTTATATCTATGTATATATCTATCTTACTAGGTTATTCTACTTATCTGTCCATAATAATAAATTCTTTCCGTTCTTTCTGCTTTTTTTCCTCCTCTAATATTTGCGCTTTTATTGACGAGGATTTTCGTCTTTATTTCTTCGATTATTTCTTGTTTATCTTCTCTTTTATTCTTATTTTCATTTTGTTCTTTATCATTTCACACCAAGCAAGGCAATAAAGCCACTAAGAAGAAAGTGGTTGCTAAGTATTAAAGAATATGAGCAAAATTACTAATAAATAGAGCGGACAATAAAAGAACGAGAACTTAAAAGGCAGAAGTAACAACTAACACTGCATTTACATTTTTGAAGAACGAAGTTGACTAGGAAGCAAGAAGCCGGAAGAAAATGCCACAAGCGAGAAGTACGAGATAAGAAGCTGTTAGCATAGAGCTTACAGTTACACAAGCCGTTTCAACTATAAAATGATGAGAACTCCCCAATAATATAGTACTAACCTTCAGTTCTATCCACCATAGTGGAAAGTAATATTTATTTGAGTAAAACAAAAATGAGACACAAGGCCTAACAGATGGGGATATAGAAAGGCTGGTCTCCAATCCGTCTTATCTTAAACTTATCTAGCCACGATTACTGACCCAAATATACCACTGTATTACTTACATCATTCTTACTTACCTTTCTTACTACAGTCACCATAATACCTCAGGTCTCTATGTAGTCCTAAATAGTTCCTATATATACCATAGTGGAAAGTGATATTTATTCTGTTTAATACAGAAATGTGGCACAAGGCCGAAAAGGGGATTGGGGAAAGGACGGTCTTCTTCTGTCTTAACTATAACTTAGCTAGCCGCAAACACTGACCCAAACGTACGAAACAATATTCCTTACACCAAAACAACACATTCATACGTACCTTTCTTACTACAACCACCATAATACCTCTTTGTCTCTATGAAAATACTAACTAGTCCCCATATTTACAATTTGTTGTCTGTGGGGGGAAGGGAATAAAACAACAATTCTAAAAGTTAACCCCAATGAGTATTTACAATATGCATACAAAAAGTATTTACAAGAAACTAAAGAAAATACGATTAGTAATAAAAAAAACCACAATTACTAAATGTGACAGAAACATCACTTCACTGGCCGAAATCAATGCGGGACTATAATAGTATAAACCATTCATTCATCCCAATCACTCACACTCATAGTGGAAAGTTTGTCAGATAATTACCATGAATGTATTTATAACAAAAAGTTAAATGGAAGCTACGTTACGGCGGTTGGAAAGTGAATGAAGCCGAGATGCCAGGTCATGGTTAATAACATTGCAAATTCTTCTTTGGAATTAATCCAGAATCTCTAAATATATAGCAGAAGCACCATACTAGATGTGGAAGCAATATTCAAAGCAAGGTCGAATGGCAGATTTTTAAATATGTAATATTGATTCTGACAAGAAAAATTATCTACCACGACATAGCGAACCAACATTCTTAACTGCACACTTAACAATTGATTCAATATACTCTTTCTACTAGTCCCTGTAGTTTTATCATTTTTTTTCACTTCTCACTTTTTCCTTTTTCTTTTCTTTGATTCTTATTGACCTTTGTGCGTGTAGTGTCGTTTTTTCGATACTTTCTCGCTTCATTTTTTTCGTTACTTTCTTGTTTCGTTTTTTGTTACTCTCTTGTTTCGTTTTTCCTACTATATTGCTTCGTTTTTTTCGATAATCCCTTGTTTCGTTTTTTTCGCTACTCTCTTATTTTGTTTTTTTTTCCCGTTACTATCTTGTTTCGTATTTTTTCGCTAATCTTTTATTCCATTTCTTTTTTCCGATACTCTCTTGTTTTGTTTGTTTTCGCTACTCTCTTGTTTCGTTTTTTTTTATACTCTCTTGTTTAATTTTTTCGGACCTCTCTTGGTTTTTTTTGGTTTTTTTTGTTGTTGTTTTTTTTTTCGCCACTTTCTTCTTTCGTTTTTCTCTATTCTCTTTGTTTGTTTTTTATACTCCCTTGTTTTGTTCTTTTTTCTATACTCTCTTCTTTCGTTTTTTCTTTTTTTTCAATACTCTCTCTTGTTTCGTTTTTTTCGCTATTCTTTTGTTTCGTTCTGTCGCTACTCTCTCGTTTCGTTTTTTGTTCGCTATTCTCTTGTTTCGTTCAATCGCTACTCTCTTGTTTTGTTTTATCGCTACTCTCTTGTTTCGTTTTTTCGATACTCTCTAGTTTCTTTTCGTGTAGACTTTGCTTTTTCCGTTTTTTGAATTTTTCTTCCATTTCTTCTTTTTTTCACTCTTTCTTTCTTTGTTTTTCATTGTTCTTCTTTTATTCTTGCAGTTCAAGTTTATTTTTAGTTTTATTCTTTTTTATTTTTCGCTCATTGTTTTATTTTACTTTTTTTTCATGTAGTCTTTGCTTTTTTCTTCTCTGTTCCTTTCTCGCTTCTTCTTTGTTTTTGTTTCTTTTTCTGTTATTCCTGTAGACTGTTTTACAGTTTCTTTATTTTTCCCTTTCACTAACTTCCGTTTCTTTCTTGTTCAAAATTTCTTACTTTCACTTTCTTTTTCTTTTTAGCTTATCCACTTACAATTTTTCCCTCCTTCCTTCCTTTACTGTCATTTTTTTTCTTCCTTGATTAACCATCCCTTTCTTTCTTTCTTTCTTTCTTATTATTATTTCCTTTGCAGCCCTTAACCACGTTTACTCATTCCCTTCTGCTAATTTTTCAAATATAGTAAATTTGACATGGCTTTTAAAATCAGATTTTCCCACATATTTTTTCTTCATAGTGTGCATTTTAATAGGTAAATTATGTTATGATTTCTACAGTTAGAGTTGGGATAGATTTTGAAAGTAGATTTAGTGACTGAGCTAGTGAACGAAATGGTGTGTCTAATGTGGTTACAGCATAAGCTCCTTTTGTTGTTACATGATTGGAAAAAGCTTGCTTTTTTTATTTTTGGTCTATTATATATATTGTCATCCACAGACAGAGTTTCGCTGTATCACAGCTCAATTGGCGTCAGTCTGGAATTCTACCACTGAGCCGTTGGTGCACGGTAGAGATGAAGGTGAATTTAAGTGTATCTATTTTTAGATAAACACCCAGTGACTGAGAGAACTCGATTCGATTTACCGAAGAGTCATGCATTATTAGCCGTAATAGTCACTGTTTACAAACCCACACTTCCTCCCCAGAAAGCTCTACTGAAATATTTTTTCAGGAGCATATATATATATATATATATATATATATATCCATTAAGTTGACCGACTAAATAGGTCAATGTCTGATCCTTAACCCCTCCTTCCTCAATATTAACTATTGTAATAAAAAGAAATATGGTGATAAATTTCAAATACTCCCTTCCCTCTCTAAACTCGACCATGTCTCTCACACCATTCCTCATCACCCTCTAATTCAACTTATATAAGCTTAATACTGCCAGTCAAAAGTGTAAATTTTAAATTCATTTTTCGTTTCACCTTTTGAAAGTGAAGTCTGAAGATCCAGAAAGTAATAAAATTCTCTGGTGAAATAAATTATTACAATGGAGCCTTAAAGTGGTCTGTTTTTCATTTACATTAAATTATTCGCTCTGACTTAACATTGAGCTCTCAGGATTTAATCCTCCTTTGGATTATCATAAGATTATCATAAGATTATCATAAGATTATCATAAGATTTTCGTTTTGTATAGGTATGGGTTTACGACAGACAAAATGGTTTATTTTTAAAAAATAGGATCTATTTATGCTTGTTTGTGTTAGATTGTGTTTGGTGGTGGGAGGATGAATTCTCCCCTCTGTCCGTGTGGGATGACACACTCATACACACAGACATGTATGTATACATGCTCGAAAGCATGGTTGTGTATCTGGGCCTAATCTCGACTTGTTTATATGGTTGTCTTTGTGTGAACTTAAATGCTTACACCTGTATGTATGCACCCCACTCATGATCCAGGCGGTTGCAATCGTGGGGGTAAGGTGGTCTGGAGTGATGTGGTCACAGAAATCGTCTGTTGCCAGACATAGGGTCTTCCACCCTCTTTTCCCTTCCTGGGCAGCCTTCGTGCTGAGTCTGACGTCTTCACCAACAAATTCAGGAGTTTTTTTTCCCCCTATCAGAACGCTCAGAGTGAGTTTTCCGGGCTGAGGTGCTTTCGTCATCACCATTAGACTCATTGGTTTCTTTCCGGATCTTTTCTCAGATTGACACACAAACATTCTGAAATGTTCATATTGGAGCATCCGGCGCGAATGCCAAACAGTACAGAATGCAGTTTCTAAGTTTCTGGCAGACTGAATTGCATCATGGTGCTCTTTTTCTGACCCTACTGCACTTTACAGTTGATACAATCAAAAACAAACAACGCACATGCAGGAAATTAAAAATATAAAAATTGCGACAATTTAACCATCGCACCATGTACACACACACACACACACACACATATATATATATATATATATATATATATATATATATATATATAGATAGATACTTGTCATAATTTTTCCCCAATATTGATTTATATATATATATATATATATATATATATATATATATATATATATATATATATATATATATATATATATATATCATCTGACTTTTGCAAACCCAGAAATCTCAGGATGCAGTCGACAAAATCCACAACAAACAATGCGAATGTAGGAAATTAAAATACAAATTGTGACAATTTAACCATCGCATAATGTGTACACACACACACACACACATAGATAGATAGATAGATAGCTACTTGTCATATATTTTTCCCCAATATTGTTATTGATATATATATATATATATATATAATTATTTATTGAAAAATATGATTCCAACGCTACATAAGAGTTCTCATGTTTCAAAACAAGAGCCGAAAACTCAATATAATTATTAGAATTAAATTGAATTAAAGTACTAAGCTCTGTTCCATCTTCAAGCGGAATTTCTTTTTTTGGAATAACTTATTCCTGAAATTTAGGCGTTTTATAAGCATATTCACTTTTGTATTGAGCACTAAAAAATTTAAAAATAATAACAAAAATACTAAAGAACTTTGGATTATTTACCTAACAATTTCTTTCCTATTTTCTATACAATTTCACACACACACACACACACACACACACACACACACACACACATATATATATATATATATATATATATATATATATATATATATATATGTATGTATCATCTCCTGACTTTTTTGCAAACCCAGAAATCTCAGGATGCCTGTATCCTGGCAACGAAAACTGAAGGGCAAGTGTGGTGTGGTCGATCAAATTTTGCTTGACAAAAAAATGTCGAAGTTTTTTTTTTTTTTTTTTAATTTGATGAGAGGCGTTAGGGGGTCTCGTGGACATATTTGATGAGAGGCGTTAGGGGGTCTAGTGGACATATTTGATGAGAGGCGTTAGGGGGTCTGGCGGACATATTTGCAACCTTTTGCGAGTCCAGTTACCAGAATTTCACCGTTGCTAATATCCACCCTAGAGGAATCAGCATCGGTCGATGGGTTGGGGGTGGGGGTGGAGGAGAAACAGTCGGCTTTCCGCCCGGGAGTCTTTCCTCAGAAACACAGCACTAGCCCCTGAACCGAGGTGTGTGTCGTTTTATCTTACTTATTTCTTTACAACTCAAGTTCACCCAATACAAGGCTCGAGCGCCACTCAAGGTAGATTGTTACTGATTGAAGGGTGTGATATGAGGTTAAGAGGGTATGCTAGAAAGTTATGATTAGGATTGTTATTAAAACTTGGGTCATCGGTACATTTTAGTATTCTAGTCTGATACAAGGTCAGTAAATGAAGAGGCACGTGTTTTCCCTGGAGATCATCTCTTTTTTGTTCCTATCGAGTTACGTTATTCTTAGTCTATTAGTGTTTTCTATCAGATTATTGTGTTGATAGCGCGAAGAAAGGACTAATCACTAATTGTAAGAAAACAGAATGTATGGTCATTAGAAATGAATTAATACCTATCGGGTTTTTAACCCAGATATTTGAAAGGAAGTGGCTAGGTGCCCTCTTACCCTACGACCACACCCGATTATGAGACTGGTGATAATTAAGCTGACGATGAGGAGGAGAGTGAGCCTAGGACATATGGGATCAACACAGATCACCTTTTCTTAGAATAAATGATCCTTTACCTTAAATTTGATTCAGGGCATTTGGTATTTCTTGAGAAGAATCACGTACATTAAATGCCATCAATTTTCTTTTCTACGAGGGTCGGCTGAAAAGTTCATAGACCGACTATGAAGGAGCGATGCTAGAGCTGTGAAATATTGCATCCCCAAATTTCAACTCTTCTTATCAATAACTACATTGTTTCCAGATAAACTGACATCTAACTGCTCAAAAAAGACTGTTCATCCCGTTGATCAAAAATGTCACCAACAGCAAATATAACATCATAATCACTGTGATACTGGCTCTCAGCTAAGGGACTTTTCATATTGGGGAACAGATGATAGTCAAATCAGGAGAATAGGGACGGTGATCATCCAGCTGAAAGCTACACTCACGCTCAACAGCGGTAGAAATCAAGAACTCGTGCTGTTAATAGTTTAGCAGATTATTATTTTTAAAGAAAGTGTATCACATCTCCGACTTCCGGAGGTTGACCTTCGGGATCAGATGTAAGATATAATAAGATTTTGATTGGCTGACTAGCGTGGGAATGATAGATAAAACAATTTTTCTTCAGTGGGTTGTTTCTTGACACTCAAGCGATGTAGACGTGTTCTCTTTCGTGTCCAAAACGGCTCCCCAGTTCACTGTGCATAATATTCTCAACTGTCTCACGGATGTGCTATGAGATTTGGCTATTGGATTTATAGTCGATCACATTTCATCCATTACCATGTGGCGAATACGATCAATGTTCATCTCGGTGGTGGCAGTTGCAGGACGTCCAGAACTTGGATCATCTTCAAAACTCTCCTTTCTTCTCCTGAATTCGGTTGCCCACCTTTGCACTGTTGAAAAAGCTGGAGCGGCATTCCATAATGTAGCAGCCATGTAAGCATGAATGTCAGATATCCGTTTACCTGGAATGAAACAATGCAGTTATCAATAAGAAAATTTGAAATTAATGCAACAATATTTCACAGTTCTAGCATCACTCCTTCAGAGTCAGCCTATGAACTTTTCATTCCACCCTCATATCTGGAAAGAAACAATGCATTTATTAACAATAAGAGTTGGAATGAATGCGGGCAAGATTTCACAGCACTAGCATCACTCCTTCAGAGTCAGCCCTTGAATTTTTCAGCCCACCGTCATATATGCGCGCTCTTTACTTTAGGATACAAGACTAACCTCTAAAATCCTTACTGACGCTGAAAGGTACCTTAAAATATATTTGCAGAAGTTAAAAGCAAAGTATTAAGAAACTGAAAAAAGTTTGTTAGAAAAAATAAGTGTTTAGATGATATCGGCCCGAGAATACGGCAGTAAATAATGGACAATCTGCTCACAGAGAAAGAGGAGACTTGAAGCAACAAAAATCTGGTTCTGCAGAAGGATGCTGAGAATACCATAGACAAAACATATGCGCAACCATGTACTTATATAGAAAATGGAAACAAAAAAGAAACACTTATCAGGAAGCGATAGTTGAAATTTAAAGGAAGCATAATGAGAAAAGAGGGCTTGGAAAATTTGATACT